TACGTGGGTTTACAAGTTATGCAATGGTCAGAGCTTTACAGATATCCAATCAGTTTACTCAAATTTGTAGCAGGTGCTCTTGGGGCCTACTTTTGAATGAGGACTGAACATTGGGTCTTAGGAAATTACAAGTAGTATGGCTCGAGCCATATCTTCCATCTCTAAATACAATTCACATTTGTTTTTGTAACTGATCTTTGTTCTTCATGTGTCAACTCTGTTTTCTTTTTCTTCTGTAAGCTGTATTCCATATTTTGATACCAGTGAATATATTAAATAACTGTAAATGAGCACCTTGAGAATTGTTAATGACCTACCCTCCTTGAGGATCATAGCAACCCAGTAATAATGTCATAAGAGTAACGATTCAGAGCAAGGTAAGCATGAGTCATATCCAAAATAAATGGATCTACCCCTGCAACATCTTAATAAGTCAAATCTGATTTGAATGGATTCAATTCAGTTGGTGCATATGCAGCCTTGCAGTAAGCTGACTGATGTGAAAGACAATGACAGATTTCTCGGTAATTATTAATATTTGTATGTTCATTCCTGTAATTGGGAAAAAGGGTAATCATGATGTTACATTCTGTCTAGCTACTACATATGTACACTCAGGTGTACTATTCCATCCAAGTAAAATGTAACTTAAAACTTACTTGTTGCCCACTGGTGTATCTGAATGTTATGAGTGGCTCAGGGACCTACGAGTGCTGGACAGGTCGAAATTATCGCATAGTTCTACATTTATTATAACATATTTTCTTCAAAAGAGTCCATTCAGCTTATTCATGAACTGAAATCAAAATTATTCATCACGAACTAATTTACTAAAAAGATGTTTTGAGCACTGAGTAACAAATCTTAAAATGCTGTACTTCTGGAGAACCAGTTTATTATTATTATTATTATTATTATTATTGGAGGGGGTGGGTTTCCCCATGCACCGCAACTAATAGTCTATTGTATGTCCCCCTTTGATATTCTACCAGTTGCCATACCCTACCAGTACTGGTGCGTGCTATCATCCCCGTTCAGCCAACGAGGTCGGCCCTTGGTACCTGATGCTTCCCCCATCTACCAGAGGCACTGGAAACTACTTGGGCAGGAAACTTGCCTAATTTTGCTCAGAGGTCTCCTAGAGACATGAGGATCTTTTATGTGCCGTAAATCTACAACACGGGACCCACAGCTTAAAGTCCCTCCCAGTGGACTTGTTCCCTGAATTTTTCCGCCCTTAAAAATTCCACGACCTCCGCTGGGTTTGAACCCGCGTACCTTGAGTCATGAGGTGGGAACGTTACCCCTAGACTACGGAGGCCGCTGAGAACCAGTTTAAATTACTAACTAAAATTTTGACAATATGATCATCTTATTTCCTTTTAAGCACAAGCACCACAGTCATTACAAACACTGCATTATATAGTCCATAGAGCATCCTCTTACATATAACTGACATACTCTCAAAACTAAGTCACAATGTGAAGGTCTAAAACTATATAAAGAAGTAAACTGAACTGTATAAGAAGAGTACAAAATTTTCGATTAAAAAGTTCCTTTCCATTTTAATTTCTGTACTTCTGTGCCCTCAGGATCTGTTCTGCTGTACCATCTAAGTCTTGGTAAACTTAAATCAAAAGAACAGACATGATTCATGTACAATCCATCACTTACTACAATGTATTTTTTATGGCTGTCAGAAGCAAAAGAAACAATAATTACTCACTAAATAACTGTAGGTATAAAAATGTTCAGAAAAATGCCTCATGCCTTAGCAAGTCTAAAACTATATACATACATAACCCCTTGAACTCGTCATACTGAAACTACATATAGTTCAACTCGTATGAAGAATTACACAATTTGTACACTCAACACAACGTACTCATTTGTTTTAAATAATGAGATATAATGATTTGTGACAAGTAGAAATTACATGCTGCATTATATTGCAGAGGTAATAAAACAAATCCTCATTTTGCAGATATTCAATTAACACAAAAGCATGGTGCAACTGGAATGAACCACAGTGAACTTCAGGAACTCAGCCATCAACTTCTCTCAATGAGTGATGTTTAATGGAGCCATTTCACATTCTATTTTAATTCTGTGTTCTGTTTTTCTTGATACACTATATTCATCTTAATCAGTCAAGATAATTTAAAATTAACTACATTCATTACAATTCACAGGCCTACATTTGTACACATGTGCTATATATTTATTCCCTTTTACTATTATTTACATATTAAAATGTACAGTTACAGGTCACTGTGTATCTAATCAGCATTTTCAAACTGAAGAGAAGTTCATTTTTTACTAAATTTTTGCTACAGTTTGAGTAATATGCAAAGTTTGATGTACTGTGGCACATACAGTTTATGCTAACATTTCATATATACTGTGACACTATGCCTGAAATCTGGAATAGTGCAATTACAGAAGTACTGCCCACACATCCACTGTTAGGCAATGGCTTAGTAAACATGTTCCTGTGGCAATAAACACACAACAACAGAGGGACTGCTGGAGGCAGTGGTATCTATGTAGTCCATCATAAAGTTATATAAGGAGAACAAATGGGACGGTCAAGCTTATTACTGTTCAAGTGAAGATATGCATGATCTGCTGTGTAAAGCATGTACTGACACAGGACTTGTGTGTAGTGCAAATGGAAGAATTTTCAATAACATGCTATATGTGTGAATTGTACGCTTGTCAAAAGGCCAAGCATACTCATACAACCCCATCTTTTGTTCAGGAATGATGTTACATAAGGACTATTACCACAAGAGTTCAGTTGGGGGGAAAAAAATCTTTAGTCGTGGGTCTCAAGGGGCTTGATGCCAAGAAGAACTGATTGGCAGTAAACCGCCAGTCATAAAGTAACTCTGAATTTGACTTTGACAGAGAGCTCCAACAGCTCCCTGAAACATCAGGCAGTTAGATATGCTCATGAGTCCTGTGGGACTTGGAACCAAGAATCACTGTGCTGGTGAGGACCAGCAACAATTCACCAGTCAGGACTGCTGTCTGTTGTCAGCAGTCAGCCATCAGTCATCACGGACAGCTGTTGAGCACAGAAGCAATAGAGACAATTCCCACTACCAGAACCTGCTACCAAGCAATGAGAATGTCAAGATAAGGCAGACTGGAGAGACTTGGAATGTGCTGTAGTTATTTGTAGATTGTGTAGAACAGTGAAAGTATTGTAACTGTTTATAGTGACAAGTAAAAGCATCCACTAAATTCAGTAATCGATCTAAGTCCATATGTCTAGTAACTAACATGGGATAACTGGTGTCAGAAGTGGGAGTGGACCATGTGAACATGAAAACTGGTGACCAAAATGAGTTGTGGGCCTTAATAAATGCCATCAAAGAAAAGACACAGGCCAGGGTGGAGGACAATCAAGAAAAGACAGAGGCCAGGGTGGAGGACAATCAAGAAAAGACAGAGGCCAAGATGGACATCACCATAAACACTGTCCAAGAAATGCTAAACACCTCGATAAAAGCCCAGCCAAGAGGAAATGAGAGCTGAAATTAGGACCCACCAAGAATAGATCTGGGCTGCCATAAGGGCCAGGCAAGATGAGAAGAAGGCAGCAATAAGCGCGCTCTACTTCTCCCAGGCCAAATTCGAAAGAAAAAAAATAGCAAGTGGGAGAAAGGCATCCTGGCATCTGTCAAGTGGAGGACACATCCTCTGCAAGAAACCCAGTAGTGAGATCTAAGAGATGTGGCCCAACATATGAGCAACAGAGATGCCCGTAGAGCCACAGGCAGGAGTAAAAAACATAAATGACAGAAGCAAACATCCAAGCATGAAGTAAAGGCAGCTAAATTACAACCACCTGCATGATTACTTTAGACAGCCCAAGCGATTATGGTCTCCCAAGATTGAGCATAGCAGGGCTGTAACCCATATGCGGCCAGTGTGAGAGCATCAGCCATCTCAGGAGAGGCTGCCAAGAAAAATATCCCTAGAAATCATATTCCTTATAAGAGCCTCCTGCGAAGAGGTCAACTGAGACCCAAGCAACACCAAGATACAGAAGAACCCTTGTTGCTTCATCTGGTACAGGATGTGCAGGTTGAACAAAAGGCTCTAGGAAGACCCTCCCAACAGCAATGACAATGACTTAACATACAAGATTGAATCCCTGAAAACTAAATTGAGAGCAGCCATAACAACACAGTATGACCCAGATTTAGAGAAAGCCAAGATGCAATCTGAACTGCGAGCTGCTCTGGAGAAGTTGGCCAGAAGCTGTAGGAATGGCATACTGACCATAACAAATCCAACAGAACTGCATAACAGGAAGGTATACCTCATGAAGCAACTGCAAAAGTATACCAGTTACATAACTGATTGTGGAACAAGGAGATAAATCATAAAAATTGTGAGGATGCAACTGACTAAACACCAAGGACAGACATACAGTAATGTCGACATGAAGGAGAGAGTCATAAGCAGCTTAGAGATGCCATTACTTGCCCATCAGTACAGAATCATCTCTTGCAAGAAGATGGGATCATAAAAGGTTTGGAAAGGCAGCTGGGTGCCCAGAGGAAGTATCAAAAGGACAGTATGCTCAATAACGCTGTGATCATGAAGGCTAAGCTTGAGACCATGGTAGAACTGAATAACTGCTTCCAAGAGGATAATGTTATTAATGTCTCAAATAGAGTTGGTTAAGAAAGAAAGTGACACTCTGAGATGTGAAGATGTGAACTCCGTGGCCTATAGTCCACAAGCAAACTATACTGACCAAGCGACCACTGCATGCCAGGGAAGTTAGTACCAATTTTTGCAGATAGAGTGTGTCACGTGATCAGCGCAATGGATCCCCATGGCCGTTAATCTCAGTTTTCTAGACCAGAGCTACTATTTCCTTGAAATAGCCCCAGAATTATCCTCACAAGGCTAAGTGGAGCCTGTTCCAGACCCACTACTTCTCAGAAAAACTGGTAGCGCCAGAATCGAACCTGGGACCTCTGGATCTGTAGCCAGGAACTCTGACCACTAGACTACAGAGGCGGTCTGGGTGAAATAAATATAGAGCAAAATAAGAAGAATGTGGTTTCTTGCAGTATCAATTTTCTTGCTTGCAAGTCTCTCTTAAGAATAGCTAATGAGAAGAACCATGTACTGGAGAGACAGACGACGGACCTGGAATCTATAACAGCAGACCACGAGAATGGTATAAAGCAGTGGTTTCAAAAAGGACTGTACCATCCTCGGGTGATGGTCAGCGGCAAGGGGGCTCTGGAAGTGACCCCCCCCCCCAGTCATCCATTGTGTTAACAATTTGCTAACAGTGAAGAAGTTAGTAAATGTGGTATCTCATTTTATTGTTATGACATTCATTAGTGGGTTCTGCAAATGGCTATTCTGAAAAACACTTTATAGGGTAGGGCTGGGGGCACTGGGGATGAGTTTGTGGAACCAAGGGAGTGGTGACATGAAAATGTTTGAGAACCACTGACATAAAGGATCTGAAACAAAGAAGCTCTATGGAGACTGAAGAAAACGTTGATTTTGTATGAAGAGAAGGGTAAGGACAAGGGCAGGACACTAGCTTTGGGTATGACAAATATGAAACAGAAAGATAATTCAGTCTATCCCTTGGCCCGTGGCCCCCACCCCCTTTCCCACAACAAGAAATGACCCACCACTGACCACATAGCTCACTTCTGCAACATTCACCAGTATGTCTGCCAATATCTGAAGCAGGCCAGCAACAGAATGAAAGCACACTATGACTGCCTGGCCAGTTCCACGGGTTTCCAGGAGAGTGACCAAGTGTGGCCATATCGCTCAACTTGGACTAAAGGAAAGTCACCCACACTCCAGCCATCATGGGATGGCCCATACAGGGCAGTCACCCAAATCAATGATGTGGTGTACAGGATTCAGCAACATTCTAGAACAAAGATGATGGTAGTACACCTGTGCCAACTGGCACTTTACCAGGAAGCTGCTCAAGACTAGCAGCACTAAGGAGGGAGCAGTTGGAGATCAGCAGTATGAGACCTAATCTATGAGGAATGAAGACTGGATGTCATCAAAAGTGGAAGAAGTGTCAGGACCAGCATCGTGTAATGCTATTCTCCAGGGTGATAATAAGTATCACAGGCATGTCCCCTTGGAGCAGAGGAAGTTGTAGTATCCCTACAGGCTACTTGGGCCAAGCAATGAATATGCACTCAACAACAGAGGGACTGTTGGAGGCAACATTTTCTATGCGGTCTGTCATGAAATAAAATATGGAGGACCAAGAGTACAGGTGTCAAGAAGACAGTAAAACTTGGCTGTGTCCCGCAGGAGTCAGATCCAGCAATTTACCAGACTGCCCGACTAACTGACCAACCACGACCATTTACCCAACCCACCAACCGACAGACAGGACCACTGTCAACTGTCAGCAGTCAGTCTTCAAGCACTGAGGGCACAAGCCACTGAGCACAGAAGCAGCAGAGAGAATTCCTCTGCTGCAAACCGCTACCAAGAAATGAGTATGTCAAGCCAGCAGGAGAAAACTTGGAATGAGCTGTAAATATTTGTAGATTGTGTAGAACAGTGAAAGTGTTGTAATTGTTCACAGTCACAAGTAACAAGCATCCTCTAAACTGAATAATCATTCCAAACACTGTTTCTGGTCACAGACAGCTAAAACAGACACTGTAATGCACTATATACAATAAAATGTACTATATAAGTGTCACTATATAAAAACAAAAAATTACAAGCAGTTTTTGGATCATGTCCCTAATATATAAATATTAATCATCTATAAAAGTCTGTACTACTGACATCAACCTGAAGTGTATCCACAAGAAACCTGGCCTGAAAATATAACTTCAACATGATGCACACATAAAGTAAACAAAGGATATGATTACATAAGACAAATCCAAAAAGAACTTCATAATTATAGTCCTGAAACCATTCAGAACAACACTAAAGGCAAAACAGCTTTACAACTTATCAGCTCCTTTACACATGGTATTATGTCACATAGAGATACAGAAAGCCCATCATGAGCTTCGCTGTAAGTCTGTATATTTGCATAATTCCTCAGTGACAGTACAGCAAAGAGACAGACTCCACTATTTTGCTTCTTATGCTCATAGCTCCATACTCACAGCATCACGCTTACGTACCAGTACTTCAGTGACGTGAGAAGCCCTTTCCAAAGTTGGTGGCTATTTTACATCCTTCTTGATACCAACTTTCAGAAAGTCTTCAACAAGTGAAGGTATATCAGTAGAGAGGCTTTCATCATCCTCATCAATCTGAAAGACAGAAATGGGAAGAATGTTTTGCATTCATTTCTCTAGTAGAGACGCAAAAAACCAACTACAAGATAACATTTTACAGGCAGTCGTTCTGCAGTATGTAGGCACTAAACAACCATTAGTACATACAAGATGCTTATCTTTCAAAATGTATTTTGATGATTCAAAGCACCTTCAGATGTACCTGACTACACCACTGTATCATGTACGGTAAAGTGGTCACACTTGATGAATGTATTTGGGGGATTATTTTTTGCTGTCAGAAGCTCGGTAATATAGAGTCAAATGGTAGAATGACACAAGAATGATGAATTAGAAAAGATATTAAATGTTCTAGTACTGTCACTTTAATATCATATATGGATACATAACAGGATGCATAAAATAAAAAGGAATTAGAAAAGAACTTGCAAGGAAGTGGGTGAAGCCAAATTAAGGCACTATAACAGCATTTGCCTGGAGGGACTGAGTAAGACCACAAAAGAAACAGTCAGGATAATTGCTGTTCCCACCAAGATTTGAACCAAGCACCTCTTAAATATAGGTGAAGAGCAGTGCTGCTACACCAACCTGTTTGGCAAACATCTGAGGTAAACAGGGTTGTAAAAGTATTTAAAGCAGTTAAGAAACTTACTTACTTACTCATGGAACTGAGCCCTTCTTGAGAAGCCAATTCTGCAGCTACTCAAGAATTTGCCAGCATTTTATGGAACCCAGAGGTTCATTACGGTGTTCAAAAGAGCTCTCCACTGGTCCCTATCCTGAGCCAGATCAATCCAATCAATACCATCCCATCCTATCTCCATAAGATCCATTTTAATATTGTCCACCCAGCTACATCTTGGTCTTCCCAGTGGTCTCTTTCCTTCTGACTTTCCCACCGATATCCTATATGCATTCCTCTTCTCTACCATTCATGCTACATGCCCTGCCCACCTCATCCTCCTTGACTTGATCATTCCAATTCTCAAACACCCTCAGTCTCTGTTCCTCCCTTAACGTCAGAGACCAAGTTTCACACAAATACAGAACCATAGGAAAAAGCATAATTTTGTATATTATAATTTTTATGTTTTCAGACAGTAGACGAGAAGACAAAAGGTTCTGGACCGAATGGTAGCAAGCATTACCCAAGGTCAATCGCCTCTTAATTTCTTCCTGAATCAGGTTCTGATTTGTTCCAGTCGTTCCCAAATATCTGAACTGTGCCATATTTTCAAAACATCTGTTTCCTATCATTATGTCATGATTTTGCGCTGCATTTTAGTGATGAGACAGCAACATATACTTAGTTTTTCTGAGCTTACTTCTAGACCAACCTCCTTACTTGCATCAATTAAAGTTTGTGTACAGTTAAGAAACTACCAGACTAAATGTAACAGATAATATTTGTGCCATACCAAGACACAACAAAACAGAAATTTGGACATGAGAACATTACGGGGTATAGGGGAGAATGATATTCTTTGAAACATGTCGTTAATAATTACATTTTGAAACCTGATAAATTTGTAATTGTAATTCTAAGTTGTGTAAGAGAACAGAAGAGATGTGACATTAAAATAGTAGCAAGTTCAGATTTCATAAAGGTTACAAATATTCCACATTACAATTAAGTTCACTCAGAAACTTTGCAAAAATACTGTTTTATTTATGGGATAATATTACTGTCATGCTTTTATGAAAAGTACCATAACAAAATAAAGTGATTATAAGTATGACCTCTCAAAATGTTGAAAAGGAAAAGAGACAACTGTCAGGTCTTTATATAATACTGTCACATATTTTAAGTGACCAGACAGGGTTTGGATTGGTAATTGGATTTACTGAACACTTCACAGATCGTAACTACAAGTAATTATAGCATTATCACTAGTTCACACACTCCATAATTCACTACAGCACTCACTAAGTCTTCTCAGTCTGCTCCATCTTCATCAGTGGTTCCTTGATAATGCTCCCAACACTGTAGATTCCTCAGCTTTCAGGGTTCATGTACTTACCAGCTACCAACTGTCTCAAAGCTCCTCATGGCCACAACTCCTAGACATGTCTGGCCATCACTGGCTACCACTCACTACTGAAGGCTAGCACTCACTCTTACTCAGAACTTGTCTGCCTCATCTGTCTTAAAGCTTCAGTTGGCTCTCCTTACATAGCCTCTACATAGAACCAACACAGAGCATTGCCTAAAACAGTTCCTCTAATGCTGGCATATCTATTGCAGCTGTCATATGATATGGTTGCCATGGAAACATGTTTAGAGAACCACTGCCTAGCAATGGACATCTTCCATGGTTCTGCAATTCTGGCTTTGCGTCAACATGTCATCATATAATGAATTATAGTTAAAGATTATCCAATCTCAAATAACTGTTCACACCCGCTCAAAAAATTAGCCTTTGAAGAGAATGGCCATTGCAATTTGTTTCCAAGTAAATTAAAATTCAATTCAAACAGTGCAAACTCCTGAGACAAAGGACTTACCTTGACAAAAGTATGATGAAGAAGTTCACTTGCAGAGGCTCGTTGTCGTGGGTCATGCTGGAGACAGAGCTGCAAAAACTGACGGCCCTCCTCACTAAGACTGTCTGGAACAGCAGGCGTCTCCCCCATTCCTACTTTGAACATGATCTGATAATTGGAGTCAAACTCTGCCCAAGGACGCTGCAACAAAACCACTAAACTCTAACACGTCTCTACATTTTCCATCTTCCACCTAATTTGGAATGAACACATTTTTTCTAACGTTCTGGAAGCACCGTGATGCCCTTTACAAAAAAGGCTTGTGGTTGGCGGTATATCTACTTGTTGTCCACAAACCACTTGCCTTGCAAGTCTGATTTGAGCCTTCTGAACAGGTAGAAATCACTTGGGGCCAAATCGGGACTGTACAGCAGATGTGTCAGAAGGTACCATTTCAATTTCTGGAGGGTTTCCATTGTTGTTTTGGCTGTATTGTGGCATGCATTGTCTTGAAGGAAGGCTGCCCACTTTCCATTTGTCTTCCACTTGGATTAGAACTTTTCCTTCATGTCTGTTGCCAGGAGGTCTGAGTAATAAGCTGCATTGACTGTTCTGGCATCTGTCAGAAAGTCTACATGGATAACCCCCTGCCAGTCCCAGAAGAACATTGCCATCACTTTTCCTGCTGAACGGCTCCTCCATGCTCTCTTGGGTTTGGGAGAACTGGTATGCCGCCACTCACACGATGACTGCTGGGACTCGGGAATGAAGTAGTGCACCCATGTTTCATCGGTGGTCACTATAGACTTCAAAAATGCATCACCTTCATCTTCAAACTGCTGTAGGAGACGACTGGCAGCTTGCATGCTCACCAGTTTGTTCATGTCCGTCAAAGTGTGTGGTACCCACCGTGCATTCACCTCGCGATAGTGCAGGTGGTATTTCACGAAGTCTTCTACACTACCAACACTGATGGACAGCATTGTTCCAAGTTTCTTGATAGTGATGTGCCTATTCTCACGAATAAGCGCATCTGCACGATCAATGTTTGGCTCGGTGATGGATGTTCGCGGCCGACGATCACGCGGTTCTTTCTCCACATGCTCTCTGCCCTCTCTGAAGCACTTACACCACTCAAACACAAGGATCCGTGAGAGACACTCTTCCCCATACTGTTGTTGGAGTCTGTGGTGAATTTCAGCGCACGGGACATTTTCTCCAACAAGGAATTTGATCACCATGCATTGTTCCACACTCCACAGTACCTTCTGTTCACTCATCACTCTAACAACTCCCAGACAGGACTGCACAAGTTCTAACCCGAACAGGAGGGAGGGTGGAGGTTGTGGCTTCACTCTCTCAAGGTCACACAGCTGCTGCGCAGTGCAGCTTGTTTACACACAAATCAGTCCCGGTCATATTTGAACCACTTTGTATTACATAATCATATATTATTTTTCATTATATTTCATTAACCAGCCACTATCTCAAAACATGTTTCAAGTACAAGTTGTATATCCTAATGAGATTTATACTTTCTCCACACATTAATTGGCTAGAATAGCTCAGTCAGTACAGTGATGGGCTACAGGCTAAACAGCTAAGGTTCAATTCCTGACTTGGGAAAGAGAATTTTCTTTCCTCCACAGAGCCCACCCAGCCGCCTGTCCAATGGCTACTGGGTACTCTTTCTCCAGGGGTACAGCAGCCAGGGCATGAAACCAATCACTCACCTCCATCTATTGCCAAGCTCAAGAACAGTAAAAATATACCTAAGTCCACCACACGTGTTCACGGCATAGTGCAGAATTAATTAGGCTCAGGGTCAACTTTACCTTACCCTTTACCTAACCAACTGTTTGTGCAATGAGCCGCTTTTTAACAAATTCAAGTTCTAAGGTCTCCGATTTTTTTCTCACACAATAATCATACAAAAAATTTGAAACTTCTGTCACTTTTCAACATAATCTCCCTGCCGCCGTACACGTTTTTCACAATGTTGACGCCATTATTCCATGGCCGCTACAAACGCTTTGGTAGGAGTCTGTTTTGACCACTGGAAAATCGCTGATGCAATAGCGGCACAACTTGTGAATGTGTGACCACGGAGAGTGTCTTTCATCGTTGGGAAAAGCCAAAAATCGCTAGGAGCCAGGTCAGGTGAGTAGGGACCATGAGAAACCACTTCAAGGTTGTTTCCATTCAGCTGACTGGCGATTCGTTTCAGGATTGAAAAACGGCATCCATGTCTCATTTATTGTCGCAATTGATGAAAAGAAAGTCCCATTCATGCCTTCATCACGTGTCAACATCGTCTGGCAAATTGCCATGCGCGCAGCCTTGTGGTCGTCCGCCAGCATTCATTGCACCCACCTGGAGGACACTTTCCGCATTCAGAGTTCTTCATGCAGGATTGTGTGCACAGATCCCATGGAAATGCCAACTTTGGAGGCGATGTTTTCCACACTCAATCGGCAATCCTCCAAAACAACTTTCTCAACTCGCCCGACCATGTTGTCAGACCGGCTGGTGTGAGGCCGAGATTGTTTTGGCTCATTGTCACACAACGTTCGGCCTTCTTTGAACTGTTGCACCCACGAATGCACATTTTTCACATTCATGACACCAACACCACATGTCTCACTCAACTGGCGATGAATTTCAATGGGTGTCACACCACGCAAGTGGAGAAAACGAATGATTACTCGCTGTTCTTGTAACGAAAACGCCGCCATTTTAGGTATCAGAAACACTCCTCACTCTCGCCGCCACCACTAGAGTTCTGTGTGCTGTACAGTGCTGCCATCTCTGTCATGCATTCACAAAAAGTGCACACATTTTAAACTAAACCGCATGTGTCTATCTGCTCCCAGTCCTGAGAAAAAAAATCGGAGACCTTAGAACTTGAACGCCCCTCGTACAAAGCAAATTAAATTTTCCTGAGCCTTTAGTGTGTGGATGCAAAAAAAAAAAAAGAGTAAAATTGTCCCTATGACCATCTAATTAAGCACTACACCATGAAGGTGTATGGGGGAGTGGCTATATAGATCCACATTTTCTTGACCTCAGCATTAGTTGGAGGTGGATGGTCAGCTTCACGCCCCGGCCGTTTTACCCTTGGGGTAAGAGCCCCTGGTACCCATTGGATAAGAGGTTGGGTTGACCCCAGAGCTGGTCTGGATGATGTGGAGAAGAGAAAATTCTTGACCCTACCGGGACCCTTAAGTCCAACCTCTTGGTTGTCCAGCCCATAGCTAGTCACTATACTGATTACACTATCCCGGCTCATGTAAATGTCAACAGACAAGTTTAATTAAATTTCATTCATTGTTAATCATTCATCATTCATCTGTAATCTGTCAAGATGACAGGTCCACAGTCTCTTCCAAAACAGTTCCTCCACTTGATGTGATCTAGAGTTTTCTCCTTCAAATGAAAATATCCTCTTCTGTCCCAAGGTCATCCAGCATTTTCTTACGTCTTCTTCCTCGTCTTCTGGTCACTTCTATCTGCCCCTCTATCTTTCCTTCAATAACTTCTTTTAGAAGACAGTTACCCCGTAAGATATGACCAACCCAATTAGCCTTCCGTTTTCTTATTTCGTGTAGGATATTCCTCTGCTCACTGACTCTAAGTAACACTTCTTCATTTCTCACATAATCGGTCCAACTGATCTTCTCCATCCTTCTCCAACACCACATTTTGAAGCTTTCCAGGTGTTTCTGATCTACTGCCCTAAATGTCCAAGTTTCAGCCCCATACAAAGCAATGCTCCAAATGTACATTTCACTAGTTTCTTTCTCAAATTGTTATATAAAAAAAACATGGATGACAGGACAGACATACATAGCTTACCAAACATTCAACTCATGCACCATGTGCCAACAATGTATAATGAGAAGAGCTCTGTCATGCTGGTTTCTTGTTTGGCCTATTCTTTAAGATTTTTAGTTCCCTCAGGTTTCCAGAATCTTAGTGCATCCATCCTCCATTAAAGTTGCACTCATGATCCTCTTTGTAAAGGATTATGGCAATGGTTAATTAAATGTGCTGCATTTACATTCAACCTATTATCTGACATATATTTAGTAAAAATGCTTAACATTCAAAGAATTCATGAATCTGAATGCAACAAGCAACCCCTTCAATTTACAGACATACCTTGCCCGAAGCCATTTCGACAACAACACAGCCAACAGACCAAATGTCTGCTGCTCTGCCATGACCTTCAGTATTCGTCTTCATGAACACTTCTGGTGCCATGTATGCTAAAATAAAAAGCCAGGCACAATAATTATTTAAATAATTAGAGTTTGCTAATATCATATTTTATAGATGGTCAACAATACATTATGTTCTGGTCTGTAGCACAGGCTTGGCTGGCAATGCAGAACTATAAAATCCAAAGTGTCCTTACAGTTAAACTACCAATGGAATGAAAGTATGAGTATATATCTCAGAAGGAAATAAAATTTGAGACTTTGTACTCCAATTCTCAAGCTAGAAGCTTAATATTATGTGTACAGAATGAAAATTCATAATATATGAGTGCTATAAATTCGACAAGGAATGCAGAGAATCAAGATCACTTGACATCAGGGTGCAACAAACTTCTACACAGATCCGAGATTACTAAGTAGGTAGAGATTCAGTTCCATTTGAATCACCCTGCCAACTCAATTTTGTTTTATAACTAGGGACCAGATTTTTATGCCCTAATAATCCCTTAAATATGTATGCATTTATGCATGAAAAACTTCTGAAATATGCATTAAAATATGCACATAAAAATTTATACCAAATATTAAAATTGATTTTACATTATTCTAAGAACAACAAATCAATATTTAAGTTCATTTATGTAATCACTGAATGATTCACTTGCAATAAAAAGCTATACTTAAACACAAATCATGCAACAAAGCCGACATATTTCATTACAAATTTAAAAAACCAATGGTACTCACATTCAGCTCTCCGAACATTGAACTTCTCTTCTGTTGCAGTTCACAATTACTAAATGTTTTAGGTTTTCCATAGTTAGTCGCCTCTTATTGTCTCGTAAGATGTCCTTATAGCGGGAAAAACTTCTTTCCACCTCACAGGAACTTAGGGGCGCAAGTACAAAAGCCGGTATTTGCTCCAATATTAGTGATGTTTTACTTGGCAGTTCAGTATGTTTACTGGCTAAAATTTCTTCAATTTCACAAATTTGTTCATATCCTGGATTTTTTTAAAGAATGCTGTGTACTTTTTCCTTTACTACTTCACCAACTCTTCCAGGAACTGAATTCAATTTGGAAACAGTGGTTTTGAACACACTTAACAACTGATACAAAGTAGCATTGCTATTGCTTGCCTCCAGTGAGGAAATGGCGGATGGAAGATGAAAGAAGTGAGCAGATATATAGGAAAGATTAGTTTCTAGTTCTGTGTTTTTAGTACATCTTGAGCAATTTGAACTCATGCTGCACTTTTAGGATCAAATGTATTCACGACATTCCTAACTGTTTCTAAATGTTCAGTATAATAACTTGCTGCACACAGCCACGTGCCCCAGTGCGCTAAAATTGGTTCCGGCGGAAGTGGAACGCTCGGTGGTACTGCTTTAAAGGCTTATTTTCTGTATGGTGCTTTAACAAATACCTTCTTCACAGACGACACCAACTTGTCAATTTGCACGAACTGTTTCTGCAACATGGTACAACCCATGGTCAAGGCAAGTCAAATGTGTCATATTTGGAAATATAACTTTAAGAGCAGTACTGGCTTTCATCATATAACTTTCGGCATCAGTCACAAAGAGCAATACGCGCAAATACTGAATGCCATTCGGCCATAGTAAATTCATGGAATTCATTAAAATTCGGAAACTGTGGAGCTATTTGCGATTTCAAATTGCTCTACCGCAAGAAGATATGGGATAGATTGTTCATTCTTATTAAGGGATCCAACTATACAATTTGCAATAAACCATCCATCACAATCTTGTGTTTCGTCAATTGATACCCACACAAAATCTTGAATCTTATCTCTAATGCTTTCAATTGTAAGATCGTAACACTTGCACTGCCTGCTCTCCTCCTGCTACCTTATACTTCTCGTGCTGACATCACGGGCTCTCATGTTATGTTCATACATGCTCCCTACATAGAGTAGGGACTCCCAAGTTAACAGCAAGGGAGACACTCCCAATCGACAAGACTCAGTTCTACAACAATAACATAATTTAATAACAGAGAACACAATATAAACTAAATACAACAATTACAACTTTACAGAAGCACGTAGGCCCAAACATACAACTTTAACCAAGTCTGTCCGTTACATTTACGGCTTGCCTATCTGCAGCATCTGACTAAACTTAATTACGCATGCTCACTGCTGTAGTAACTCTGCTTACAATCATGCTACATCAACTCGCACAAAATAAACCTTGACTATTATTAATTTTCTACAGTCGATTCCTCGAAGGGAAATACAACAACGCAAAATTAATCTAAGGCCCTGTCACTGCCACACAGTAAACCTACTGGCCAGCAGACGCGACCAAACCCCCGACATGCGTTGCCAGCACACACACAGCCAGACATAATTTAGAATACCATACACTTGACAGAATTTGACAATTACCCCAGCTGGCAGCATATGTCTGCTACGCTGTCGACCCAAGCAGCGACTGTTTCAAATTCACTAGCCGGCCTCTTCCAAGCCTTTTGAGGGGACGGACAGGGAGAGGAAGTGGAATCCCTCGTGGTACACTCCACACATGGGGAGAAGGGGTAGGGACAAGGGCACACTAAGAAAAGAACATGATTAACATGGCTGGAAGGCATGGCATCATCAAAAGAGCATTCAACATGGCTCACACTGCTTCACGTAATTTTTGCGCACAGTCGATTCATCCAGCACTTTGCACTGTGTATACTTCTCTATGAAGTTTCTCAGAGTAGGATTGGTTAGTTTCCACAGCGGAATATCTGCCGCTAAAAAGGCTTCGCATAAATCAAAGGAAAACTGTGAAAAACTATTATTAGAAAATTCACTAAGTAATTTTTGAACAGGATCACTTTTCATGGATTTCATTTTAACATTCTCTTTGTGTATATTAGTGTTCAAATACTGAAGCACTTGAAAGCGTTTTTCACAACCAACTATTTTCTCACATGGTCGGCAATAAAGAATTTCGTTATCCGTACTTATCATCTCTCCTTCGAACTCCCACTGATATAGGTGTAATTTAGTTTTCTGACTTACTTTCACTTTTGCATGACTACAGAAAGCTAAACAAACTTAACTACAGACTAGTCACCGCTAATGTGAATGGCCCCAGCTTCAAATGAAGAAGCGTAACGAACCTCATGGAGACTTCGGAAATAAATAAGTGAAATCCCTTATCGGTTGAATCGTATTATGCTGATAGCTGCTACATGTGAACGCTTCCGACTAATCTCTTTGCAGCCACTTTGATGGTACGCGGATGAGGCAAGTTACGAGTAGAGAGATCGGGGAAGTCCCGTCCTGGGTGTTGCATCAGAAACATGAATCTTGACGAAATGTTGAGTCAAATATGCAACATATTCTAATACGGAAAAGAAAAATTGTATACACACAACTATGACTGAAAATTTGCATAAATTTAAAAATTATATATGATAAACATTTTAAAAAGGAAATATGCAGTATAAATAGATATCTTCGAAAAGATGATGCTTATTCATAAAGCAGGCAAAATATGCATTTATATGCACCATCAAACCTTGTCCAAAATTTAAGAAATGAAGTAATTCATACATATATCCAAACGAGCATACTTTCTGGCTGCAAGAGAGAAATTTGCATTTGCATTAAAATCTAGTCCCTATTTATAACACATCCTAACAATAACAAGTAAATACCAACCATGTGGTTGGTTATCAGATGACAGACACAAATACACAAACAATACGGCATACACGCCATGAAATAATTCACCTCTCATCAATCCCAATTTTTTGCTGGTCATGACAAGTATCTTTATTATATAGGAACATGGAAAGTAAATTAATAATGATGAGACAATGATATGAGGATTTCAAGGAACTCAGACACAAACATGAGACAGAAACTTAACAAAGTGGTTACAGAGGCTGATAAATTTATTAATTTTGAGAAGAGAAATTAATTCATAAGGTAAAACTGAAGGAGATGAAAAGAACAATATAAAACAGTTCCAAATTTGAACAAATTATGGAATAAATATTATTGAACTGTGATATCCCAAACCAGTGTCAAGCAACAATCTACAAGTATGTAGTATATTTTAACTGCCATCAACATACTGTCAGGTGTATTAGTGACTACAGTTTGGATTGGTGAATAGGTTTAACACCTTATATAATCAACTTGTACTTACAAGCAATACAGCACTGTCACTGATTTACAAAATTTACAGTTCACTGTTACACACAAACTAGGATTCTCTGTCTTCACTAGTCACATCCTGGTAATGGAATTAAAACAGTCTCACTGTGACTAAATCTTCTAATCACACACACTAATCTTCAAAGGCTGACTTCTAATTCTTCTTCAACTACTAATTTCCCATGGCTATCTCCTACTGACAACTGACCTCACTTCTCATTGTTGTACTCCATTGTACGCTGCTGTATTCCCATTCCCTTGACTCTCCTGTTCCTTCAAACTGTCTCCTTTACATAATTGCAGCCTGGACCACACAGCACAGAAAAAACAGCCCCAGGACAGACCTACACAAAACACCTGCCTGCATCACTTCTTCTATTGTTGTGTGACGTCACTGTGCATGCTCCATAGCAATGGTCCGTGCACAGACCACAGAAAATGTAGCTCCTGTATTGTTGGCCACGTGTGTTGTGGGTCAATACGTCACAATATAATACCAAAGTATGCATCCTTACACGCAAAATCCAGGCAATATACATACAATTTTTAGCAGGAATAAGGGGGAAGGGGAGGAAAAGAATTAAAAACAGAATGTTTAGACAATCTGGAATTCAGAATTTGTTAACAGAGTTAGAAGAGGAATGAGACCTGAGAGTGGTCCATTTCACATTCTAACTGCTTTCAACTTCAGCTGTCCAGCTCACAGTCTGTCCATTTATTAACTTGACTAACCCAGCTCTTTCTGTGTGGGTGGGTGTGTGTGTATGCATGCATGACGTGTGTGCTTGTGCATGTGTGTGACATCCTGTGTGTCTCATAGCTTTATTCACTTACCATTTGCAGATCAAAGTGTTAGTACAAATCTAGACTAAACACTCCATTCTAAAATATGACTAATTATATGAAAAAAGGGGAAAAACTATGTAACTTAGGATACCAGAATCCTAACCTTGTGTTCCAACAAAGCCCTGCAGTTCCCCTGGCAGAGTAGTATGGGCTTTGATTTTCACCGCTGAGCCAAAGTCTCCCAGTTTGAGGCAGTTTCCTTCATCTGTTAGGAAGATATTTGCACCTACAAGAAGGAAAAAGTATTAGCAACAACCCTGTCCGAGTTTTGTGCTTGTATGTATAAAACAAACAAACAGAAATGTTTACTCGTCCAGCATGTTCTGATATCTGAGGTGAGGTCCAGGGCTATATATGTGATACTGTGCTTGCTTGTCAGGTCTACTGCACACCTCTTGGACAGTGACAGATGCATATGACTATAAAGCAGTACTGGAATGACAATCAACAGGAGAAAACTGGAGAACTTCAAGAATAAACCTACTTCAGTTCTTTCCAAAACAAATGACAACAGGCACCAATAAACCGTAACAAGAAAATACACCTAAAAAATAAAAATATACATCACAGCTATTAATATTAATTATTACTACCAATTTACATTTGAACTATGTGAGATCTCAATGTCTAACTGCTTCAGATTATGACAGTATTTTGACTGCTATATAAGTCATACAGATTTACTCAGACTTTCATGTAAAGTGGCAGACCTAACTGGCCAGTACAACCTAGTGTTAACAGCACGTGTCCTAGGCAAATTCTTTGAAGATCCATTCCACATTAATCTCATCAAAACCTGATCCATGGTTCAAGAGACATATACACTGGAGAATGCTACAAGTGATATATTACTTTTGATGTCACGATGCACAACACCATGATCATGGAGAGTGGCCACAGCCTGTAGCAGCTGTCGAGTATATCGACGGATCAGAACTTCAGGGAGACCACTGCTCTCTGCTGCAGCTACAAGGCTCTCCAAAGTGCCTTCTGCGCAGAATTCCATGAAGATTAACATCTCTTCCTGTAACACCACAACGAACAATACTCATGTAAAGTCTGTTTCACAGTAATGAAACGTCCAGTATTTCAGTACCAGCATGCTAATTTGGTATTCTATAAACAAAAATATATTTATATACAGTGCACAAAACAGAGACCGCCTCTGTGGTCTAGTCGTCAGAGCTTCTGACTACAGATCCATAGGCCCGGGTTCAAATCCTGGCGCTACCAGATTTTCTGAGAATTAGTGGGTGTTGAACAGGGACCACTCAACCTCATGAGGATAACTGAGGAGCTATTTCAAGAAAATGCGACTCTGAAATTAACGACTGTGGAGATTTGTTGTGCTGACCACACGACACCTTCTATCCGCTAAAGTCAGCACTAACTTCATCGACAAGCAGCAGTCACTTGGTTGGTATAGTTCGCTTGTGGACTACAGGCCACGGAGTTTGTTTTTCTTTTGTTTTGTACATAAAACAGTAACTTTGTCAGCTGTTTTGTACGAGTCTGAAATGTGCTTTTACTTTGCAAGAAGAACATAAATGGCAAAACTTGCTCATGAAAACAGTGAAACTTAAGAAGGATGAAGTATGTGAAGCATTTAGGACACAGTACAATGAGGAACTTGGTGATTCTTAACTACATACATTGTCATGGGAGGTCAATTTCACAATGAATAAAAATTAATAATATGTATCCAAATATATTTTACACACACATTACAATCTTGATATTAGTTTGTCTTTAAACTACTATTTCACCCTAAGCCACTGCATTGTCCTCTTCTTCAGTTTTGCACTGAACTAATTTGCAGTTCACAACACACACTATTCCATCTCTGCTTCAACAGACATCCACACTAGCAGCTGTTTTATGTGTATAACATTTCTAGAATGTCCCATACCTTCACATGTAAACACGTTTCTGGAAGAGCTGAGGAAAGTGAAGGTGAGGGAGGGGGACGGGTACATCTCATCATTTCTAGAAAGAGTAGTGCACACTGGCCATGCTATGCTGCCCTCAGCCCCAGCTCCTCACTCACATGACAATATACTGGCATACCTCATGCATGAACTTCAGGGCAAAATTAAAACATATGAACTAATGAACAATATTTTAAAACTACACTTCAAGTCTGCATTAAAGAAATTAAACAAAATGAGGTTTATGTTGAAAGATGAGTAGGCACATTCATATTCTTGTCTACTTTCCAAACAGGGTGAACAGAGTATCAGAAGTAGGTGCCTCCAAGAAAGTGCACAAATATATGCTCCACATGCTTGAATAAGTTCATAGCTGTAACAAACCTTAATGAACCATTTTCAAACATTAATACCACAGACAAAGATACTTACCTTTAATATGCAAACAATAAAATCTGAAAATGAATAATCATATCTGTCATTGGGCTTAATAAAAATCTTAAACAAAGTAAAATTAAGTTGTGCCCTATGATTAACTAAGCACTAGGCCATAAAGACAGATGGGGAAAATAAGAATCTTATGGATATTGAAATATGATTTTCTAGGACAACAGCTGTTCTTTCATGTAGATCACAAATCTTCAATATAACAGTAACACTACAAGGATCAATTCTGATGACATTTTCATTTTAATTGTAGAACAGATCTGTGTTTACATTTAGAACCTATATTTTTATTTACACCTATATCAACATCAACTGTACATACATATACATACATACATCCATCAGCATTTCAGAGTATTCACAAGTGTGCAACTGGCATTGAATATAAAACTTGTCAAACAACAGTCACAAGACAATCACAGATAAAATTGCAGAGACATCAATTCAACCATAGTTAAAATCTAAACTGAATACCTCAAATAAATAGATACAATGTTACACATACAATTATACCAACAAGATAATTAGCAATACACAATAATTCTCCTTCCTTAACTTACACTTACACTTAATGTCTATATTGATGCCTACTGTGGGACATCCATCAGTCAGCATGCACTCCCCTTCTATTCCTTAGCTGTTGATCCCGACAGAAGAGCAAAAATTCATCAACAGTATTATACGGATTATGTATTAGGACATCTCTTATTTCATTTATAAACTGTTTTTTATCATGTACTAAATCAGTTAAATATCCGGGCAGGCTGTTAAATATTTTTATACTTATGCAGTGAACTCCTTTCTGCCTCATTGCAAGATGTGATTGTAGGACATGTAAATTTCTTTCGTGTCTTGTTGGTCTCTCATAAATTGAATAATTAAAAGTAAAATATTTCAAGTTATTTATCATAAAAGTCATCAAAGATAAAATATATTGAGAGACCACTGTTAATATATTTAACTTTATAAATGCTGGCCTACATGACTCTCTATGTTTCATCCCCATTATTATTCTAATAGTCTTCTTTTGTAAGAGAAAGATCTTCTTGGCCTCTGACGAATTACCCCAAAAAACTATTCCATATCTCATGAGTGAATGAAAGTATGCATGATATATCATTTTAAGTGTTGTAACATTACTGTATGGTTTCATAAATCGTATTGCATAACATGCCTTTCCCAATCTGGGTAACAATGATTCAACCTGTGTCTTCCAATTCAAGAACTTATCAATTTCAATGCCCAAAAATTTAATATGAGTTTCCTCTTGTAATAATTCATTGTTAAACTTTACGTGTACAGGCATATTGTCATGATTGATTGTTTCAAATTTTAACACTTTAGTTTTCCTCAAGTTTAGGGATAAGCCATTGTATTTAAACCACTGACTTAAGGAATTTAACGTACGTTTAGACCTTTCTTGAATTTCATTGATATTAATACCTGACACTGATATACTTGTATCATCAGCATACAACAATGACTTGTTGTCAGTACTTAATGCTGACGGAAGGTCATTAATATATAAAAGGAACGACAAAGGACCCAAAATCGAGCCCTGTGGCACTCCATATTTGACAGTTCCCCAGTCTGAACAGCATTTTCCATTTTCATTATTATAGAGTTCAACTCTTTGTCTTCTATTTTCCAGACAGGACTTCAACCATATCTTTATTTTACCACCAATGCTGTATGTTGCTAATTTACTCAAAAGAATATCATGACTCACACAGTCAAATGCTTTTGTCAAATCACAAAAAATTCCCAATGAATGACTGCGTCTTTCCAACGTTTCTGAAACATGATTAGTTAATGTATATATTGCCATTTCTGTGTTACTGTTTTCTCTAAATCCAAACTGTGCAAAAGATATTAAACTGTCTGTATGTATGTGTTGCTCTATCTATTGTACACCACTGTTTCAAAAATCTTAGAAAAACTTATTAGCAATGATATTGGTCTATAGTTTGCCATAATTGCCTTCTCACCTGTTTGTATATAGGTCTTAATGAGGCAAATTTCATTCTATCAGGATATATTCCATGCTCAAAAGATGCATTAAATATGTCACACAATGGTTTACTTATCTCAGTTATACAGTATTTCAATATCTTACTAGAAATGCCATCATATCCTGTAGAATCTTTTGATTTTTGCAACATAAGTATGCTCTTTATTTCCACCTCCACTGTAGGTATTAGCTTCAGTTCAGGGAATTTATCAAATTTCAAAGTGTCTAAGAATTTAATAGCTTCATTTTTATTGGCACTTTTCGTTTCCAGATTCTCAGCTATAGTTATAAAGTATTTATTGAATACTTCTACTACTTCCTTAGTATTAGTTACTTTACTATTCCCCACTTTCAATTCGGTTATATTATCTGGGCCCCTCCTTTTCCCAGTTTCTTTATTAATAATCTTCCAGGTTAATTGCATTTTGTTTTCCAGGTTACTTATAAGTTTTTGTAGTACAATTTCTTAGCTTCTTTCATCACTTTCGTTAATGTCATACAGTACTTTTTATAGTATGATTCCAATCTTCCATTCTTTGATTTTTTAACTAGGTTGGATAAAGCTCTTTCATGATTACAAGATGTTCGTATACTTTGGTTATCCATTTATTGGTGTCTTATTAACCTAGATCACACATCTGAGCGCTGAAGCTACAGTCATTCCATATACCTGTTACACACTTTCACTCATTAAAACACACTGAACACTGCAACAATCATTTATTTTTAACATTTAAAAATCCCACACTCTGCCAACAGAGTTTATTTATGTGCTTCACATGATTCTCAGAATAAACAACAATTATATAGCTAAACTGCATTAACTAACTGTTTTCTATAACAGAGGTGCAATGCATTTCCTGTGAGATAGAAAATTAATGTTTAAATTATATTTATAAGAAATTCATGCTTCAATTTTACACAACTGCATCATGGTTACTGATAATTTTACTTTTTTTTTCACTGACAAGTGTTTTGTAATGGTTCAATAATGGCATTATGTTCTGAACCTTGTAGATGGAAATATGATTACACTGTTCTGAAGAAATGCATTTCCTAGCTTCAGCAGCAAGAGTTACACTCCAAAGATGAAAAGAGGCATAATGATGTAGGAAGGATTTACATATTAATAATACCAGACAGAATTTCAGACATCATAAATAAATGGTACAAAAAAAGGCTGAAAGACCTATAAAAAGATGGATCAAATGAGATTCAATCCTGAAAACTATGAGTACATCACATACTGACATGAAATAATATTTACCTTGTACAGTGCTCTTCTTTCAGCTGCTACTTACAAACAGCAAGTGCATGATTTGAGGTCCTCACAGCAGTAGCTAAGAAAGTTCTACCTTTTGTGACATAACTCTGTGTAGTCTGTTGAAAGTCAATCAACATTTTGGTGGAACATGGTGTCTCCACCTCCAGGGTCCAAAAATAAGCCAAGCAAGAAACCAGTATGAAGCAGGTAGCAAGCAGAGCAGACTTTCAACAGAGTACATAGCATTATATCCCAAAGACAGAACTCTTCAAATAATAAATTCATGCATACTCAACATGCCAATGCATGGTATGTTTCGGTCTTGTACATAAGAGAGCTGGAAAACATGTTCCAGAAAAAAGTGATAACCATATTACTTATATTGAGTCCCATTCTGTCTGAAAGAAGATATTCACATATCTAATTCACAAATATCTCTAAAAAACTGTACCATAAAGTGGGAACTCACTCTGTGGATTTCCACACCATAGTACCGCACAAGGTTACTGTGCTGGATGCCTTCAAATATACGCAGCTCTTCTGCCACCCTGCGGATTGTTCTGTGGTCATTTGGCTGCAACTGAATCTCCTTCATTGCCATCATTTCACCAGTTTGATTGTTAACAGCTGTGTACACTTTACCAAATCGACCTTGACCTGTATAAAAATACACAACAAATCACACAATATATTCACTTCATCAGAGATATACAATACCATGATTAACAGATTATTTCTTTAATCACCTGTCACTTGCATTATGTGATTAGTAAGTTAACCCCATAGCATTTTATGCATACATTACTTAAAACTCAGAATGACATATTTAGCTTCAGCTCCTGTATAGATATGTTATGTTCATTATAGGTACCATATAATTTCAATAGTTACTTATCACATACTTGATAATCTTTCTTAGTGCCAATATCTCTGTCCAGTTACAGTGCAACATGAATAGATTTCTTTCGCACTGAAACTTCACATTTCAAAATTTATATTATTCTATAACAAAGTACATTTCACGGAACATTCCAGCAGTGGCAGCATCCTTCGTTTTTATATCAGAAGTTCCTGGCCTAGGCACCAGCTACTCTGACTGAACTTCTTCATGCTTTTCCTCAGTCCATCCAGAACATTTCTGAGACAGTAGCTCAAATTATACCAAGATCAGTTCCTTCCACACCTTTTTCAATTCATTATTCAGTCATCTTATCAAGTGCTATTACCTTCTGGAATGTGATGCCATATAGTCTAGTCAAAGATCACTAATGAAAAATGCCTTCTAGGATGTGGTGCCGTGTAGATCTTGTGTGAACCGACATTTCAGAGGAACGTTTCCTCTCCATCTTCAGGTAGAGGAACCAGCGTGTGCAGGTGGCTGCAGACAGGATCGTCACTTGCAGATTGTTTCTACCCTGAAGATGGAGGCGATATGTTCCTCCGAAACGTCGGTTCACACAAGATCTACACAGCGTCAAATCCCAGAAGATGTTTATTCTTCATAGTCACCGCCATGAAAAGCTCAAATCTTACAAAGATCACTAATGTTTCAGTGGAATGTATTCCCTCCATTTTTAGGGTGAAGCATTTACCTGCTGAGATTGAGGAAAACACAAAGAACTCAACCAGGAAAACTGGTAACATCAGAAATTCAAACCTATTACCTTGAGAATGTAAGGCTGGAGCATTGGAGCTACATTAACCAACTCGAGAAGCAGCATCTACTAAATAACTTCTACAGATTCTAGAGTGTCTTTGTAGCAAAATTAGGATTGGACATCAGAAATATTTTATCCAGATTCACAGTAGCAAGGACCTTATATCTTTCCTGTATCTGTTCAGCTGCCTATATGTGCTTTAGACACAAACAAGCCAGCCATACTTCATGTTAATTATAAACAGAAGGGGAAGAAGGCCTTGAGGCTCAGAATTAAAGACAAAAAAGTCTGACAGCTGTACATTAAAGAAAAGGAAGACAAGCTTGCACTGTAGGATGTGTAACAAAATGCAGGCCCTTCAGAATATATAACTGAGTACATATTGTAATGTGTTTTCGTTACGGATCCCACTTCTGACACCAGTGTAACGTGTCTTGCGTTACTGAAGACGCCGTAGAGATGGTTAATTGGTTTATTTAACAATCTACAAATAACGGCTACAATTAATTATCACACAGTTGCGGGGTTTCACACTTTATAACCCTAATCGCATTAATCTGTTAACACTGTTGCGGGGTTTCACGATTTCTAACCCTATGCGCAAATCAGTTCACTCTGTCTTCAGTAGTATACACGTTGACAGTAGGGGAGCTATGTATCACTGTATCACACGCTCCCAATTACACAATCGCACACACGTCCGGATCTTCTTACCGCGACGGCTGCTATACTCCAACTGTAGTCGGCTGACTGGAGAACTGTTGATAACACGCTCTCGTAAGCTTGCTCGGAACTATCTTCGGCGATGGCCACGTTATAACTCGCCGACTGCTACAGTAGAACTCTCTGGTAGCCACAATAGAACTCGAACTCATCGATACGCACTGTGCATCCACTTATATAGCTGCAGTGCTTGCCTGTGGCGTAATGAGTGCCACGTCACAGTAGGACGTTGATTACGGTTACGTTAGCGTTGCGCGTTACGTCACCGCGTGACGTCACCGCGGAGGGGAGTGGCGGGGAGCGCTACGTTACCGTGGAGAGGAGGGTGGAGGGGGGGGTTCTCAGTCGCGCAACATGTTACACTGCTCCCTCCTTAAGGCTGTTCGTCCCGAATAGCCTAACGGTGCACCCCCGTTCCTTTTCCGTCCCATAGCTGTTCTTGCAGCATCTGGTCTCCGGCTGTTACAATATTATGGGACAGAGAAGATATAACCTCCCCTTACAAATCAAGTTTATAGATATACAGCATGACTAAGACATTGAATAAGGAAGAGAACTAAAAGAGTAAGTTTACTGCCTATGTTCTTCCCTTAATGCCAGGGACCAAGTTTCACACGTATACAAGACTACAAGCAAAATTATATTTTAATCTTCATATTTTTAGACAGCAGATGAGAGGATAAAAGGTTCTGAACTAAATGGCAGCAAGTCTTCCCTGAACTTAATCTGCTTTCCATTTCCCCATGAATGAAACTCGGACTTGTTACTGTCATTCCAAAATACCTCAATTCTGCCACATTTTGAAAAGGATCTATGAGCCATCTTTATGTTATCAATTGGTCCGGCCTTCTTGTGAGGAGACACCAACATATACTTAGTTATACTGTACTGTATTTTAGGATATTGTGTACAGAAATTTTATTCAGTTTGTCTCACAATATACATATAATTTTAAGATAATTATAAGTTTTCTACATTACAACATATTTCAGCCACTATTTCTGGCCAACATCAGGCACTACTTATACAGTCCCCCTCAACTTTTCTGCTATCCCCCTTTCAATGGCCAAAGTTTACAATAGGAGGGGATAGTTGTATTGTTGTTTACAATGCAGGTCTTTAGTTACACACTAAACAAAAAGTGTAAAGTATATAAACTAGAATAAAGCTTTATATACTTCACAACTTTTGTTTAAGTCTGTAACTAAAAATCTACATTGTAAACAACTACATGACCTTCCTCTCCAGTTGTAGCTGGCCAATGGAGGGGGGATAGCAGAAAATTTGAGAAAGACTATATAACTACTGCCTGATGATGACCAGAAATAGTGGCTGAAACATGTCATAATGTAGAAATGTACAATTATCTTAGAATTATATATATATACTGTAAGACTGACTAAAAAACATGCTTTGTTTTCTTTGCATTTACTTCACAGACCAACCTCCTTACTAGTGTCTATTACTCGTACAGCTTCTATGCAACTAACCACAAATGCCTGTTTCAGTTCTCTCATGAGAGAACATCAATTTCTTCACAGTACTGTAGCACAAAATAAAACAAAACCACCTAATAAAGGAGGAACAAAAAATCAAACAGAATGCAGACATCAAGTTGGTGTGTTCAACTTAAATTCTACTGCCCACATGTGAAGCAGCTTAACAGAACACAGTGTCATACAGACCCTCATCCTGTGTGTTGCAAACATGGAAAATGTTCATTCCATTATTTCAATGCTACTTCTAAGCACTGTGTTTGAGTTTATTTATGCGCAAAGTGATGACAACAACAGGGCTCAAAATCCTCCATTTCAGCTACTACCATTTAATGTTGCACAAAAAGGTCACCAAACCCAAGGACGACAAAGTCGGACAAGGGAGACAGAAGGAATAGCAGGTCCCAGCGACGGAAGTTCTAATTTTCACTTTCAAAGGACCAGAAATAACACTTCCAGGGTGAGATTACTATTTTTATTTCATGTTACTTGATTCATTCTTAAGTTATTAAATGATACCACTTCAATTCTATAAGTTTATAGTGATAGATGAGGTGAGAGTATGAATGTGAATGGTGGCAGATAAGGATTCAGAAAAAAGTGGCCATGGCCAATGTCACCATATTATCTTCATTCTCTCCTAGACAAGCCAAGAAAAAAACATGAGAAACCTCAGCCAGGATTCGCTGTAAATCACTACATTAAACAGCAATAATGTAAATACATCTATCATTTTATGAAACAGCAATTTAAACTTAAATCCATTCTAATTTTCTGATGTTATACTTAGAGTTAATAGTATTTCCAATAAGAAAAATGTCCCCCCTCCTCCTCCCCTAGGTTCAAAATGTATCTTCCCTTCTGCTGTCCTCTAAACCAAGTGAACTGGATGGAACCGGAACAGGCCCCAATACATTTGAAGGAGATGGACTGCTGGACAGAGCAATTCAAATGTTGCAGCGACTCAACGATCGCCTAACTGCACTGAATGCACTGGATGAGCAGCAGCTCAGAAGGCTCGAAACTCTTGAGTACAGGTAAGAGTGAAACAACAACATTCTTAACAGATACACTCTCCAGGACTTCAAGTGCCTAACCAGTTAGATTAAAATATAGTTCAAGGAAGATAAATATGTTTATACACCGTAATCTTCTGGGTTATGGCATCACATACTTTCAAAAGTGGTTACTATTGATTTGGTGGAACCTGCTACGACCATCTTCAGAGCACAAGACAAAGCCAGGATGTGGATGCCCAGATTATTTCGAAAGCGCAAAGAAACTGGACCATAGAGAGCTGGAGAACTGGCCAGTCACAGCCAGAGATGGGAAAGAGCCCTGTCCAGACCAATGGAAACAATCAACAGCAGAGATCCTAACAGAAGAATACAATATAAATTTTTGCCACTGGGAAAACCTCAATTCTCAGCAGAAATCCTCATTCATTTATATATATTCATTCATTCATTCA